CCATCGTCTCTCATGGTTCGTCTACCCCTCCGATTTCCCCCGCTTCATTCTTCCCCTCCCGCTACCTTCTTCTTCTTCTTTTTTTTTTTTTCTTTTTCTTTCCTGGGTATTTTTTTTATTACTTCTCCCTTTCCAAACTACTACTCTGGCACATGAAACAGGGGTGAACGATGGTGATTTTTCTGAGTGCTTTAAAAGTCCCATTTCCAACACAACTCTAACATTGTTCTAGATCATACTACTGTAGGTAACTAGTTCTGAGCACAGTAGAACTATGGTAAACACCCTCGTAAAATTCATATTTATTTAATAAAAGATTGGTTTCAAAAGAGTACTCATATTATGAAATGTTCTTTCTTGGGCAACTTCTCTTTTTGCACAGGTGAATGGCATAACTTTGCTTGGGGAAAATCACCAAGATGTGGTGAATATTTTAAAAGAACTGCCAATAGAAGTGACAATGGTGTGCTGTCGACGAACCGTGCCACCCACCAGCCAGTCAGGGTTGGATAGCCTGGACTTATGTGATATTGAACTGACAGAAAAGGTATCAGGTTTGAGACTAGCCAGAATAAATAATGGAAAGTCTAAATGGCATTCTAAAAAATTTTAAGCCTTTTTTTTCTTTCATTTGGCATTTGATTTCCTCAAAATCAGTGGCTTGTAGGAAAGACCTTGGAGTCAGACAAACGTGGGTTTGAGTCAGGCTCGGCACTTACTAACTCCGTGACCTTGGGCAAATCACTTCATCTTTCTGAATCTCACTTTTCTCCTCTGTAAAATCTACATCATAGTGCCTGTCTTCAGAGGGTTGTTCTGTTGTTCAAATAAGCTTATATAGTGATATTAGATATTATGGCACCCTTTATGCTTGTATAATTTATTTATAGTATCCCTATGAAAAATATACTCATAATGTGCCCATTTATAGAAGAGAAAACTGATGTAAATAGTATGTAGTACAAATGTGGTAAACAAAAGATACTTAATGCCTGGCACATGGTTACTGCTCTGTAAATAGCTAACGTATGGATGGACACATCCTCTCTGTGATTTTAGATCTTACTTGCATATTTTTGTACTTTTTAAATCTGAACAATTTGAGGTCATAATACTGCATGTCAGATAATATTCTGTGACATTCAGACCTCCCATTTTCCTGTTTGCTTATTCTTTTTTATTCACATCAAAATGTCAAGAAATAGAGTGCATCAGCTTTTCTGAGGACTCATAATAGATATCTAAAGTTAAGATTTGGACTTTACATTATTTGCGGTCTAGTCAAATCTCATTTAAGGTATAATGAGATATGATGCTAGAACTTGACTTACATTATACTGCAGGAATCAGTACAGTAGAAGAATTTTGAAAGCTTTGAAGAATGTAATATTCATATGAGTGGAGTAGGTTAAATAAGAGACATAATTCCAAATTGTGTAGAACTCACTCTATCACCATACATGTCCATACACATTTTTTATGTGTTCTACATGGGATTATTACAATAAAGCAGGTGGACAGATTTGTATCCATGGTCCTAGGATGTGTAATAATTAACAGCAAAGATAGTATATAAACTAGAATTTCATCATCAAAAACATGTCTTTCTGAAATTTGATATGTTCATACAAATGAAGCAAACTGAGTTAACTTAGATTCACTTTATTTTTGCTGAAAGAAGCCAACATTTTGTATTCCTATTTTTGTGCTGAGTGCTTTATAAATGTTATCTCATTTAATTTGTAACAATTCTATCAAATGGGTAACTGTGAAATTCAGGTTAAGAATATTGCTCAAGGCAACACAGTTAAGAAATCATAGACCTGGTCTTTAAGCCCAGACTAATCCGACTTCAGATCTTGTCTTGCTATTGTGCATGTTAATTTATTAATGAAATAATCATGTGCACAAGTCACAACATTTGAGAACCTTTGTTTGCAGAGAGTACATTTACATAGAGCCATTTCCTCTTGAATTGTTATATATCATAAGAATTTTTTCTTTAATATCAAAGTAGATTTACAGTTTGTTTTTTTTTTTTCTGACTACAGAGGTGACTCAGACACTGATGAAAAAAAGTGAAAACCACCCACAGTCATGCTGCTGAGATACAACCCTTGTGTATTTTTATAGGAGACCTTTGAACCATACATTTTTAATGCCTGTTCCATGTTAGGTATTTCTGCTTCTTTAACAACCTTCAGTAATTACTACCTTAATTTGTAAAAGTTTCATGATAAGCTCTTGCTCCTTTTATTTGTGAGTGGTTTGTTCTGGACAGATGCTGGGACTCTCCCTCTCCTTGTGGTGTTGGTATGTGTCTGTTGGTCTAGTGCCCCTGAAATAAGAGCTGTGTGGTCTGTTACGCAGCCTCATGTAGATCTGGGCGAGTTCACTGGGTCCTCGGAGACTGAGGACCCTGTGCTGGCGATGACCGAGGCCGGTCAGAATGCGGAGGAGGTTCAAGGACCTTTGGCCATGTGGGAGGTTGATGTGCAGCATATCGAGCTGGAGAAAGGAAACAAAGGACTTGGTTTTAGCATTTTAGATTATCAGGTAAATATGTCCATTTTTAACAATTTTTTTTAAAAGATGATATATATTCAAGATATATTGTAGATAAGAGAAAAAGCAGTTAATATTTCAGAGTTATCAAAGACATTTCCTTGTTTCTAGCAAATCTTCTAAAATAATAATATATATGGTTTATTTATCATGAAGCGTTTCTTTTAACATTGAGTTCATTGAACTCTTTCTAGATTTCAGCTCTTGAAAATTTGAAGAACATACAAAATACATTTTAGGAATATCATAGAAATACAGTTTTTTTGTTATTTGGGGAGTATGTCTAAATTATTTTTATTTCCGTGCTCATAATTGATAGTTCATATTTCAGTGGTAAGACTTAAAGTATTAAATACTTATTTCTTTTGTCTGTAGTGAATTATAGAGTTCTAATTGAAAATGGATTCTTGTCATTTGACTAAATGACTAAATTTATGAAGAAACTTAAACTGGTCAAGTGTAGCGTCCTTACCCTGCATTGCACTCTGTGCTGGGTAACTGAGGAAATGCTTATGCATGTGTGAGAGAGCCTCCTCATTAATTAAGACTGGACCAGAGAGCCATCTCCAGTGACTCCCAGGAGCTGTGTTCTTTATAGCGCTTGATTGTGGATCCTTGTTTTCTAATATTAAGGTTGCTGTGTATCTGAAAACACTGCATCATCACATACTATATGGACTCTTTCTGTTTTTCTTCATTTCAGAAAGATAGGCCTGACCTTCTAGTACACTCACATCTACTGATGTCCCACAATAGTAACATCCTATTTAACAAATGCTGTTGTAGGGACACCTGGGTGGCTCAGTCGGTTAAGTGTCTGCCTTCGGCTCAGGTCATGATCCCGGGGTCCTGGGATCGAGCCCCGCATCAGGCTCCTTGCTTAGCGGGGAGTCTTCTTCTCCCTCTCCCTGCTGCCCGCCCCCCCCCCGCCGACTTGTAGTCTCTCGCTGTCAAATAAATAAATGAAATCTTTCAAAAACAAACAAACAAACACTGTTGTCACTAATTCCTGTATCTGATGTCCAGCCTCAGAAGACAGTTGTAAGATTGGACAGTTTATCAAAAATTAAAATTATAATTTTATAGTGATCTGTACAGTTGAAGTGGTCTACTCAGGAACAACTTGGTACTTAAGGATGCCATCCTTTAGGGGAACTCTTCGTAAACTCTTCAAAATGGAGATAGCCTTTACCTAGATAATTCGTTTAGACGTGTTGCATGAAAATTCTTTTTTGAGGCACTTGAAACAATTACCCATCCATTATAACTCAGTGGCCAATCTATAAAAACATTTTTTCAATAAAAAGGAGCTACCTTCTTTTTTATTTATTTTTTTCCCTTCCCCATTCTTTCAGGATCCCATTGATCCAGCAAGCACTGTGATTGTAATTCGTTCTTTGGTGCCTGGCGGCATTGCCGAAAAGGATGGTCGACTTCTTCCTGGAGATAGACTCATGTTTGTCAATGATGTTAACTTGGAAAACAGCAGTCTTGAAGAAGCTGTGCAGGCTCTGAAGGGTGCGCCAGCAGGATCTGTGAGAATCGGAGTTGCTAAACCGTTACCTGTAAGAATTCGGATTTTATCAATTTTCTTTTTCAGTTTGTAAACAAAATGGCTTTTAGGGTTACTTTTAGCTTCAGAAGGTGTTCTCATGAGTGAATCATGACTTTTGGTATGGTTATTGGCTGTGTGAATGTAAAGATTTAATTTTGAGTAATAGTTTTTAAAAGAATAAAGGAAAGAAAACGAGATTCAGAAATAAATTTATAACTTTAAATTATGCTTTCATAGTATGCTTTTGATCTTTTTTATTGGATAATAAGGTCATGATGAATATAGAATTGAATATTTTAAAAGAAATATGCCTTAAAATGTCTATACCAATATAGTAGGGTATTAGAGAAATTAATAGCATTCACAACTAACAGTGCAATCTTTAATTATAGTGGAATAAAGTAGAATCTCTGTCAGTGTGGTTTAAGGTCCTGCATTCTGTTGATTTCAACACATTTCTTATCTAATTACTGCAGAGCAAGAAATTGAACTTTTCACAGTGGGTTCATCAGCTTGTGGCTCTTCTCCTGGGAGGCAATCACCCTCCTGTCATTAATTAGTGTGGTATTAAAAACAACTAATCAGTTCATGCTACATAATGTCAGTATGTTTATTAGGTGTAGTGATTACAACATAGCACTTATCACTGAATTGCAAGTAAGAGAGACATTCTCAATATTTATGGGACTTTTTTAATGTATAAATATATTTTTAAGGCAAAGGGCAAATACACCTTTTCTTAAGAAAACACAAACACATAGGTATATTTGCATAAACATCAAATAACAATTTGTTGACTTTATGAAAGAATTTGTTCAAATAGTAAGCTTTGTTTTAATACATTTGCAATGTTAGATTTTCATGCCTCACTTTGTACTCCACAAAGAATTTTGGTAACCTGTGAAAATATATTTATGACAACGGAGGAAAGGAGAGAAGTTCTGCATGTGTTGCTGATGCAGGGTGATGTAGGCAAGACAATCTATTTTAGGCTATTTTATTTGAGATTGGAATAAATATGTTAGGTTTTCTGTCAGTGTGATTAAGGTTGCAATATAATAGATTAGGAATGTAATTTAAGTAGATTCTGTACCTGTAGAGTGTTTTTTTTTTGCTGTTTTTTAAGCTATGCTCAATTGAGAGACTCCACTGTAGGGTTCTCTGACTTATCAAGTAAATCACATTCTTTAAAATGATATTCTAGTAAGGGATGACAGAGAGAAGATGATCCTTCCTTTTTAATGTTTTTTTTTCCCCTGCAACTTCTTTTATATCTTAACACCTAAAAGGTGCCTTACTTATTTTTATATTAAGAAGTCATTATTTAGCCAGAATATTTGGCAGATAAAACTGACCAGAAGATTATTGTATAATATTTAAAAATTATTGATTTTGATGATCTTTTATAAGGAGAATGAAAAATTTAGAAGGGATTTTCATCTAACAGATGATGTATTGGTATTAGAAGAATGTCCTTGTTGTATCTTAACAAATAAAAACATTAAATATGAATATTTATCGTATTTCATGTTCATCATTCTATGTCTAAGTCATATGTTATCATTTGAAAACATTCCCATTTTTTCCCTCTCTTCTCCTTACTTGTCTTCTTCTATCGCCCCCCCCCACCTTTCCTTCCTTCCCTCTTTGCTCTTCTCCCTCAAACTCATCCTCAAACACTGAGCCTCCTTCTCCCTGCAGCTTTCACCAGAAGAAGGGTATGTTTCTGCTAAGGAGGATTCCTTTCTCCACCCACCACACTCCTGCAAGGAGGAAGGGCTGGCTGACAGAGCCCTCTTCAGGGCTGACTTGGCTCTGGTTAGTGGCCACAACGTATCAAGTCTTCTTTCAGAAATCTTACGTGTCTTATGTTTTGCCTTCCAAAATATTCTAAAATCTTACTGTATACTCTTTGTTCATAATGTTTTGGAAAACCAAACATTTTCATTTCAACTCTAGTGGTTCTCATAGTTCAAAATAGGAAGAAAAACCGTAACGTGTGAAAACTATTTGTTGGACTTAGGGAAGAAATTCAGTTAGCAAAGCATTCTGACAACTAGTAGAATTAATCTTTACATCATACCAAAAATTGTTGAAGCAGTCGTTTGCTCTGATTTCATACTTGGGCCATTTCTAGGCATTATTTAGCTGTTTTCAGCTAATCAGTTGTTTTGGCTACCTTTTAATGAGGGAACTTACAACTGTATTTTTTCCATTCAATACAAATAATATGAAAGCCACATAAATTGGTTCAGTTATTAAGTAACACAAAAGCCTCCAAAATAGTCAAAACCCATGTTTTCTAAAATTACAAAATGTAATAAACATCACTGATTTACTAGAAAATTTTAAATTAAAATTTTATTTTTACTTGATCTATATAAAATCATTCATTAGAGTAAATGTATTTGTGGCCCACTGGAGACCACTTTGATGAATAAATGCATGCATCTTGCTCCCAAGAACCTCACTGTCTGGTAGAAGAGACAATACTGTAGCGATAATTAAGATATAAAGCTAAACACCAGATATAAGTAAACATGTGACGTTTATACAACATAAATATAACAAATTGTACATCCTATTCCATTACTCCTATTAAAGCCAGGTTCCTGGCCTAACTTTCCTTTTTGGCAAATAATGCCCAGTGTGACTAGAAAGGATATGCCCAGCTTTTGAAATCCTTGTTTCAGTGTATCAGAATAGAGAGTGAGGTTTAGAACCCATGGCTTTCTCCATTATGTACTTATAATCAGTTGTGCACATCTTGCTTGAGAACAGAGTATGAATTATTTCTTTGATTTTGATGGTCCTAATTTTTGGGAGATCAGTTTCTTAATATTTTTCATTTAACCAGCTCCTGACATTGTCTTTTAGAAAGTTTTGGTGTATATTATAATAAATACAATAATATCACATTACAATATAATTAACAATCCATGACACAAAGCTTAGTTAATGCCATCTGCCTAGATAGCGATGTGAAGTATTTACTGTCTAGATTGTTGTACATGATAAACATTTGTGAAGGGTAAACCTCCACAAAGTAATTCACTAGTGAATTTGAACATGTATTTAAAATACATTATTAGAGAGAGGGTCACTTGGAAATGGCGTGTATTCTTAGCATGTTTTTGCAAGAATGTGACCTGGTATAATGTTATAATTCTCCTGGCAAAACAAATTGAAATCACAAAGAAGTAGAACACATAGGATTTTGCCATCAAAACAGAAAATGCCGATAGTATCAGAGAAGGGTAGTATTTATGTTAGTTCTGTCTATTCTAAGGTGTAACTGTAGTGAATTATAAATAGAGCTTTAAGCTCCTCATGAGTTGATTCTTTCACTTGGTTCTGCCACAGAAGATAGTATTAGGTGTTTTAGATAATATATAGTGAAATGTTCTACTTTATATGAGTTTTCCAAGAATAGGAGTTTACAACTTCATAGCTTCCCCACAACCATCATTAGGCCCCTTGTCTGTTAGTATAATTTCAGTATGAAATCACAAATACTTTTTTTGGTTTCTGATGATCACCAGCAAATTCCGAATCTGCAACTTGAAAGGTTTTTAAAATCTAGTTTAAAATAACTTAAAATAGGTGTGCCTGAGTGGCTCAGTCAGTTAAGCATCTGACTCTGGATCTCAACTCAGGTCTTGATCTGAGGGTCATGAGTTGAACCCCTCATTGGGCTCCATGCTGGATGTGGAGCCCGCTTTAAAAAAATAACTTAAAATACATTGTTTTAGTGAGCTTTAAAAATAGGTAATTGCCTAGCTGCCTTGCTGAATAATAGTTTATTTTAGTTGAATAGGAAAGGTGTTGACCTTATTCATTTTATTATAAAATTCTAGGAGTTGGGCAGGTGGTCTTAAAAAATAACGTGAACTAGAAAAAGTAAGTATTTTCCTTAATTTATGGAACCACTTAAACTTCGAACGGATCCAGGCCCTTTGTTAATTGTTACCGTTGTCCTTCCATTGCTGGAATAGGAACGGCTGGCACCAGTCTGTCCTCATTCCGGTGCCTTAGTCAGTCTCTGATGTGTTGAAGAGGGTGAAGAGGTCATGTTGAAGAAAGGATGCATGCCGGTATGCTTTTTAGTCTCAAGTGGAGACTTGGCATACACGTAACCAGAATTTGCAGCTGATATTATCGTTTTGATTCCTAGGTGGACACAAATGAGGCCGCCTTAGATGAATCGACACTGGAGTCTCAGTACTCTCCTGATAATGGCAGTATCTACTCCACTCAAGCCTCTATTTTATCTCTTCACGGAAGTGCTGGTAGTGATGGCCTGAACTCCGGTCCCCCCCTCCCATCTTCTCCTCCCAAGGTACGAAGGAATTGCGTTTTATTTACAGGAGGGCCTTGTGCGTAATTCTCTAGAGGTCAGTGTTTATGGGGGATGGTGGGAGTAGTTTGGTAGAGGCATTACGTTTTTCCAGTCTTGGATTCATTATCAGATTAAAGTGTAGTTCCATTTGGGTAGTGTTGATTGAGCATCTTTCAGACCACTAGGTACTATTTAAATCTAGGATCTGTTGTACAGAACGAGAGAGACAAGGGTCCAAGGCTTTGAATAGGATTTATGTGATAGAAAAGTTTCAATGAAATGTATTTCTCAAATTGTGTATTTAGCTGTGTCTGCTTTAGAAAAATCATGAAGATTACTTTATTTTCTTAATGGTTTTAAAATTGATTTTCATGCAGAGTTGGATAGTAAAATATTTCTTGCATTAATTTAATATTTACTAGCAAGATAAATTTAATACTGTCATATTTTTATATAAAATGATGCCAAAAAATACTTTATATAGAAATCACAGTGAATGGCAAAGTATAGTTCAGTCTCTGGATATGAATGAAGACTTTAGTTACTGTTTGACATATCTGTGCCATGTATATTTTAGAAATAGATTATTGGCATAAATGCCCCAACTCTTCTTCATTTCCTTGGTGATGTACTTTATAATGCTTAGTAAGTAATATTTTAAAACCTACCCAATCTTTTGGGCATGAAATGGTATCTTACTATTTGCATTTGAAGTTCTGCTTTTTAGTGGGGTTGAACACTGTTTCATATATTGGTCCTTCAGTTTTCACTTGTGTCAGTGACCTCTTCGTGTCTTTTGGCAATTTTTATATTGTGTTGTCTGTCTTCCTATTGATTTGTTGGAGTTTTTTTTTTTTTTTATATTTTCTAGAAATACAAATACAAATACACAAAAGAGTTCAGTGTATTTTATGAGTATGTGTGTGAGTATGTGTATTAAAAAAGCCAAAAATGTGTAGGAATGACTTTTTTCAACTTCAGGAAAGAAGTTATTCTTTGAGAAAGAAGGAAGCATGGGAATTCGGCTGTAACTGTAATACATTATATCCTTTTACGAGGAAAGAGAGATTGAAGAAAATATGGCAAAATGTTAACATCTGGGCAAAGAGTTCATGTATGGATATAATTTCTTTATTCTTCCGTGTTGGAAATATACCACAAATAAACATTAAAAATCAAGATAAAACAACTAGACAGTAACTTTCTTAAATACATGAAATATATATTTTCCATATAAATTAAATTCAGCAGGAAGGAAATCTGCATTTTTGAATAAGATGGAAAATAGACTTTCCACAGGTCTAGCACAGTTTTCCTCCTTTTCTGATTAACAAGTAATTTTTTGGCCAGAACCTTTTCAAAGCATTTTCTTTTATGTTCAGGGTGCACCTGTTATCCTTGCAAATGATGCTGGGAAATCTCCTTGAATTGGTTTGCAAGGTATAATCTTGAATGGAGCAGCTGCTCCTCTCTCGCCACACCTGAGACTGTCTGTGTGCCTGCGTCCTGTCTGGAACGTGTTCAGGCTTTACTGGCCTCGGGGCTGGAAGCTGAGTTCATCTCCTAATGGACTCTCCTAATCCACAGCGGAGCGCACTGCTTCTTGCCAGTGGGACAGATTGCATTGTTTAACTTAGTAATTGTTACTTAAAGGGATTACACAATCTGCATACTGAGAAGCATGTATTTTACAGGGCAAATGCTGGTTGTATGCAGCACAACATATTGGCTTACTGAAGTCTATTTGCCTCTTTTTTTTTTTTTCTTGAGCAGTTTACTCTTTTGTTGAAGCAGATTTTGGCAAGCTGGCCTATCAACTGAAATATTTAAACTACAAAACAACAAAGAAGACATTAATGAGGATGTTTTAAAACACACTGAAACTACTCTGTGTACTTTCAGTTTTCTTAGAAAGTAGGACTGTTTCTGCATCGTGGTAAATCTCTGCAACATTGTTTTTATTTTTGTTTTTGTTTTGTGGTGTCTTTATAGCACCAAGATATTTACCAGAAGATTATGTGTAAATAAAAAATTAGATGATGTATTCATTTTCCTATTTCTTTGCACTAAATTTATTTTAAAAAGACAGAATGGCAATTTGTTATGGAATTTAGAACTGGCCATTTTTTTTCTGGCCATTTTTCTTAAGAGTGCGCTCACTTTGGAACCCTCTAATTGATAACATAAAATCTTGTAAGATATTTAAGACAGAGAAGCCTCCATACTGATTTAAAGAAGTGTAAAATTGAGTTTGAGGATCTCAGTGATTCCTAGGTTTTTGACTTTGCTAGATATGTAATAATCTTGGTGGTTGGAAATGCACAGATAATTTCACCTTTCTTCTTACCTTAATGAGAAATCTTTGATCTTGGTCAGTTACACTGCCAGAAGTTTTAAGAACTAATCACCCAGAGCTGGGACTCATCATAGGAGGGAGGCCTGACTCCTAAAAGCAGAGTGTGGGCCTGACAGCAGCTTAGATACCAAAGGCTCCTAGGCATATGTTGGAACTCCTTTGTCCAAAATTCTCCCATCTGGGAGACCATTCTGATTTTTTTTAAGGAGTGGTGTTCACTTAATTTGATTAATTATCATTTAAGGAAAATAACCATTACTCAAGAATCTGAAAAATACTGTAGAGCTACTTCTATGGCATTTGGACTAATAGAGGCAAGTCATTGAGATGTGAATTTTAAAGGCAAAAACCCAGTGGGTTTTCTCATTGTTGTAGGTTTAAATTTTTTTCTTTTTATCCCCCTTTCCTTGTCACCCTTAAAGACAACAAAATGCAGAAATAATTGTTTTCCAAACTTAAACGCTTGTAGACTTCTGTTTAAAAGCTCAACATGGTTTTGGGGAGAAGATGCTTTCATTTATTTTTTTCTGTTTTGGATTTTTAAATACACCCAATAAAGATTATTTATGTAATGAGTCTCCCCGTCTACTCCTTATCCACACTCCCAAGCCCCACCCTCCGTTGTATATCCACACTCACTGTCGCTCCAGGGATGAAATGACTACCAGTTTGGTGCATGTCCTTCGTTCCTCATATTGGTCCACTAGGAAATGCTATTGATTCTAGTGCAAGTTGAACTCAGTGTTCGTCAAGCTAGAAGCCCCTCCTTGCACCTTGCACACAAAACATAGCCAGTGGATTCCATGATTTAAAAAAAAAATCTACCTGTTCCTAGAGATCTCTACCTACTGTCATTCTGTAGCATCAATATTGCTGCCTTCACACCCATGCTTAAAATGTTTGCTTGTTTCTTTTTTTGGAGAAACAGTTAGTGTCAAAAACTAATGAAATCACTCTAGTCAAGATGATGAGAGTGATTGTGGAAGTCTTGGTGACAAAACTGCAAGCTCTCAAAGTATAAAAGAAGTCCCTTTTTTGCTCAGTAGGGTGGGTACACAAACAACAGAGGAAGTACTATACCTTATCTCAGAAAGAGTGGGAAAAGGACAGTAAGTTGAAGTGGCTGTGCTTTTAGTATGTTTTCCCACAGTGTGGAAGGGTTTCTGTGGTAGACCGCTTATGAAGAAGATCAGGTTGTGTCCAGTGAGTGTTTCAATACTTGGCTAGTCTATATAAATAAATCATCTGGGTAAATAGCGTGCCCAGGTATCATCCTAACTTACTCATCACCCTTAAACAGCTCTTTTCAAGTGTATTTGACATTTTTATTTAACCTGTCTCTCTCTTTTTTTTTTTTTTTTTCTGGCGAACAAGAATATATCAAGTAGAGGGGTGCCTGGGTGGGCTCAGTTGTTAAGCGTCTGCCTTTGGCTCAGGTCATGATCCCAGGGTTCAGGGATCGAGCCCTGCATCGGGCTCTCTGCTCAGCAGGAAGCCTGCTTCTCCCTCTCCCACTCCCCCTGCTTTTGTTCTCTCTCTTGCACTGTCTCTCTGTCAAATAAATAAATAAAATCTTAAAAAAAAAAAAAAAGAATATATCAAGTAGAGGCACGTGTTAATGTGGATTTTTGCAAGACTTCGGTTTAGGTACCAAGCTGCACTGGGAAATTATAGAGTTCTTTTCGAATATCTTACAAGGGAAGAACTGCTTTTCTTTTAGATCCCTAAGACTTTTAAAAATAAAACTCAGTTGGTTGTTCAGCAACCAGAAACGTTTCTGAAGTAGGCGTATGTTGTCTGCTGTGTTGATTAGCTCTTTCTTTTCTATGTGTCTGTGTTAACTCCTTTATGAATAATGCATGGAAATTTCTGTCACACGATTTATAGTAAACCCTAGCTAACAAGGGCGGCTTGACCTCCTTTTGTGATGAAAAGCAGTTTTAATTGTTATCTTTATTTGAGGCCTGGGGAAGATGATATACTGCTAAATATTATAATTAATTTAGTAATACAGAAGCTAATTCTGTAGTAAGTGCATTGTTATTTTTCATTAGAACAAAGTCATCAAATTTGGGTGAATGGGCCAACAGGTTATTGTCTAGGTTCCAGCAATGTGGAGGATGATGGTTTCCTGTCGTTGTTCCTGAAGAGTCTAACAATGTTCCTGGCTTGTACGATATTCCCACTTGCCTCAATTCTTTGTACCAGGAATATTTGATAATTCCAGAGAGATAACTTATGCTGATAAGAGGAATGTAATTAACTCTGTTGGAAAAATTGATTACCCTTCTAGAAAAAATAGAAAGAGATCCATATCTCACACCACACCCTGAAATAAATTCTAGAAGGATTAGAACTGAATCTGAAAAGAAAGCATTCATAAAACAGAAGAAAAATACTAGAAAGCATTTCATTTTCTTTGTGTGGAAGAACTTGTTAAGCAACTTTTGAAACTCTGTAGCACAGAAAATTTTGACAAATTTGATTATGTAAAGAATTTCATAAAGAGTTACATAAAGAATTCTTGATTACATAAATAATTTAATTTCTGCAAATATATCTATATAACGTACAAACTGAAAAGATAAGTAACAGGCTGGGGAAATACTTGTGGTATATATTACAGACTTTACCTACAGAGTATATCAATGACAGGAACAAGTGGAAACCCCCTGATGAAAAGTTGGATGTAATATATGAAGAGAATGTTGACAGGAGATATATAAATGGCATGTCCTCATTAATTGTCAGGGACATGCATAGTAAATGCTAAGGTTTATATTTATTAGAATATGTTTCTTTCAGATCAAATTACCAAACTAATTTAGGGTTGGCAAGATTAGTTCACAGGTAGTCCCAAATTTTTGTGAGAGAAAATTGGAAGACTATTTGGCAATATGTACCAATATTTTAAGTGCCCGTATTATTTGGCCCATAATTTTAGGAGTTTATACTAAATAAATTTTCTCACATGCACAAAGATGTGTAATAAAAATAACAATAATGGCTAACAGTTATTGGGTATTTTCTGTTGAGTCAGATGTGTTATTTAGTACTTTGTGGCATTAACTCTCTCTGTCCTCCCAATAGTCCTGAATTATTTTTATGTTCTGCAATCAATAGATGAAGGGACCAAGGCACAGAGGATGCTAGTGGTGCAGTGAGCGTCTGAACATGCACTCCAGAGTCTGTACTCCAGGGCCCTTCAGACTTGGGAGTAGTTTTGTGGTCATAAGAAGATTGAGGTTGACGTTTATTTACTGACATGGAAATCTCTCATGTCTAGATATAGAGATACCTCAAAAAAGAAAGTAAAAACATTCTACTTAATTAATGTTTTAAAAATGTATAACTGCATGTATATGTGAGTGTGTATTTGTACTTGTACATATTTAGTATGCAAATGAATAAAAAATTCTGATAGACATTCAGCTGATTCCAGCTATTTCTACCAGGGAAAAAATGGAAGTAGGACCCATAGGGAGAGCTTTCATATTATACTCTATATGTACACACATATTATATACCTGCATGACTTGAATCTTTTCTGATGATAATGTATCCATATGCTGCTTTCATACTTTAAAAATATTAATAAGAGAATTGTAGGACAAACATATGTTTATTCAATACCAGTTGATGGAGCAACTGCTTGCCCAAAGCACATAAGTGATAGAATATATCTGTTGTAAATAGATGTATACATATATGTCAAACTAGAATTTTAGCGTTTTGGGGAATTTTAGAAATTAAATAAGTCAAGAGAGGTTCTGTTATGATGTAAGAGAGCCTAGATTAGAGCCTACATCTTATTATACACCTTCTTAGTATTCCCTTTGTTTATCTTGCAGACTATTTATGAAAGTTTTCCCTATCATAATTTGAACTACATAGCTTTCTGTTCTCCTTAAATACCTAGAAATGCCTATCAAAATAACTTTTCCTTGGAGATTCTTATAAATCAGAATCAATATTCTCTTTACATTCTCGATCTTACATAGGAACTTCATACTGATTGAAAATGAACTACTCTTTAAGATTTGAAAGTAGATGTTACTTGCTTTCCTGTGTGGATTGAACTATAATTTTATTTGTGAACAGAACATAATATTGTATCTAAATGGTCTCATGTACAATATATAGTACAATATAACCCACTTGAACATGACATACATGATCTGCAGGAAAGGCATACAAAAGCATTTATAAAAATAAAGATATACAGAATGTCAGCTAAGAGAAGAATTTGTATGTTTGCTAATACTTCTTGAGTAATGAAAATTATATTGTGTTTTGTTTTCCACTAGTTATTCATTAAGAAATGGTCTTGCAAAATACATTGATGTAACTCTGGCTGTGATTTTTTATTGTTTGTTCTTTAATCATCAGGATGTTATTGAAAATTCTTCAGATCCAGTACTTGATCTGCACATGTCCTTGGAGGAACTATACACCCAGAATCTCCTGCAAAGACAGGATGAGAGTCCATCTTCAGTAGACTTGAGCATGGGGCCTGCCTCTGGCTTTACTGTAAATGATTATACCCCTGCAAATGCTATTGAACAGCCATACAAATGTGAAAACACAAGAACGTGGGCTGAATCTCACCTACCAAATGAAATGATATCAAGTGCAGAACTTACTTCTCCCATGCTACCTGATTCAACTGGAAAGGTAACATTTTAAGACATGTATTGTATATGATGATGAGGTTGGAAACAGTGACACGTTGGAGTATTCTGGCTGATCTCTGCATTTGGAGCAAGTGCTCTCTTGACGTTGAGATTTTCAGAATCCAACCTGTGAACTTATTGGTTATAGCTTCCTGCTGAAGAAGGTATAACCAATTAGAGAACATGAGTGATGTTGAAATACTCCAAAGTCTTGTTTTCCTTTCCATGTGAATTATTTATTTATTTATGTATTTTCTGTCAGGGCTCCGAGTTCTTAATTCAGCAGAGCTCCCTGACCTCAACTGCGGAGTGCGTCATGCTCCAAAACCTGTCCAAAGAATCGTTTGAGAGGACTATTACTATAGCAAAAGGCAACTCCAGCCTAGGTAAGTGCCTTCCTTTGCACACCTATCTTCCCTCTCAACTCCCTTGCCAGAGACAAAGTCTTGAGCATGGTTTCAGCATTGTTGGCCGTAAGCAGTAAAATAGATGTCATAAATGTTCCTGTAGTTTTTCTGGTTTCTCTTTTTATGTACTCTTTATTTTTCCTGAAATGGTTAACAGGTTTGTTGACTTCAGACTAGCTTAAATCCTCACTCTCTTAATTATTTAAAAGTATTCATGAGCCTCATTCACATTCAAGTAAAAGATATATGAATTGTTTGTGTATGAAACAGCAAATCAGAAAAGGAATTCTTAGAAAATGAAAAGTCAGCAATTTGGAATTTAGAATTCTTTGAAAAAGTAAATTATTAGTTTCTTTGAATGTTACCAGTTATGCATAAGTCAGTTTGTATTTAATTTATCTCATTCAGTGAAATAAAGACTAAAAAGACAGCCAGGTGTGCTACCACCAAACTATAAATGCAAGTTATTCAGTATTTCTTTCCGGGTGGCAGGATTTTTGTGTCCTCTTTTACCCATAAAGGGGTTGAGGCTGGTTAATAATCACAAACCCTACTGAATTGGGCAAAGAAGATTTCCTGTAGAAATAAGATCCTAATTACAATGGCTAAAACTATATGGAGGCAGAGCACATTTGTTCTTTTGCGTTCATGACTCAGCTCTGTCCCTAGTGCTTGGTGCTGATAAACAGGATCGTAACTTAGTTGCTCTGGATGCCCAGTCGTAGCCCAAGACACTGTTTAGCTCTACATCAGAGATCTTGTTCCCTCTATCATGTAACCAAGCAATGCCCTTTGCATTGATATCTTATGGCAGAGTCTTGTTTCCTTGTTAAGTTTGAGACTTGGCAGTGAAGTCTAACCATGCTTACTTGGTGAGTAGAATTCCAGTCTCTGTCTCCTTCTAAATTTTGTTCCATTTGGTGGCAGCTGGGTACTACTAACAGCAGCTAAATGGGGAACTATAGCAGAGAATTTTTACTTAACTTTACTATTTCTTTCATATTACACCGAATAGAGTAATATAAAACTTAAGCTATAGAACTTTCTATAATTTGTTAATTATGAGACAGATATCATAGATATCTAAACATGTCAGAAATATTTCATCTGTTAAAGTGTTTCTGAAAGCATGTTACTTTGAATACTAGTTCTATAGGATGTTAATGGAAGTTATAAATGGGCCACAAGTTTAGAAGTTGGGAATGTGATACACTTAAGGAGACAGGTTTTTGTTTGTATTACCTCTCAGTATCTTTGGTATTCAAATGTGCGTTGTGGATGTCTAAGAAGTTATAGAATGCAGCATTTCTTATATTTAATTGACCATGGAACCCATTTTTTTTGACCTTCTTATAAGGCAGAGATTTTGCAAAGCCCAGGTGAAAATTCCTATTCTAATGTATTTATTTATTCAACTATTGAACATTTATTGTTTTCTATATTGTAGTCACTCTGCATAGACACCATGATTTAACCACTTTCCTCAAGGATCATGAGTTTAAGAGAGTAAGCAAATTGACATATCAAATCCTAAATGCATTAAAATACTGTACATGCTCTGCTAGACATTCATAGCAAGAACATGGAAGGCGTAAAGGAGGGAATAGCGGATCCCTACTCTGAGCGTGGAGGAGTTTAGAAAGATTTCAAGGAGATTTTTATCACATAATTGGGGAGAATTGGAAGCTGCTAGTGCTGAGGCAGACATGTGAAGCACTACTGAACTTTGTGTGGCGTGGATGAAGTGAGGTGTTACGGGGGGGGAGTGAGACGTGATGCTAACGGAATGGTAGGTGGGATACAGTTGCTGGAGGGGTTCATGTGCAGGACACAGGACTTCTGTCCTAGCACCCTCCTGCTGGAGGTTCCTACAGGCAGCGGTTGCTGAGGGCAGAAGAGTGACAGGGTCAGATTGGGTTTTAAGATGATTCTGGCTTAGACTGGTAAAGTATTTTGGAAGCCGCCGGGAGACTCAATTAACAGTCATGGTTTGACCATACCTGGTTTTACAAACCGACCCTTTGGATTGCTTGCCTATTTTTAGTTTGCTGAGAGAATGTTGAATTTTGTCAAATATTTTTCTTCCTCTATTGAGACAGCCAAATGGGTTTTTGTTTGTTCTTTTAGTATGTTAGGCTACATCATTCTTCAGTATGGTCTAAGATACATAAAACTGACCATTTTAAATATTTCTAAGTGTACATTTCTGTGACAGGTAAGTCCATTTACATTGTTGTGCAGCTGTCACCACCAAACATGTCTAGTACTTTTTCATCTTTTCCTATTGAAACTCTATACTCATTAAATAATAAATATCCTCCCTGTCCCCTAGTTCCTGGCAGCCATTCTACTCTCTGTCTCTATAAATCTTAACTATCCTAAGTACCTCATGTAAGTGGACTCATACAGTATTTGTCCCTTTGTGACTAGCTTATTCACTTAGCAGAGTGTCTTCAAAGCTCATCCATTCATAGCATGTGTCAGAATTTCCTTCCTTTTTAAAAAAATATTTTCAGAATTTCCTTCCTTTTTAAGGCTGAGTATTCCATTTGTTTATTCCTTCATTTGTTGTTGGACACTTGGGTTGCTTCTACCTTAACTTCTGAGTTTTGACATAAAAAAAATACTAAGATGATTAAGCTCTTGGGGAAAAAAAGTAGTGAAAGGTGAAGTGTTCTTGCTTTCTATTATATCAGGATATTCATTTAAACCTTTATTTTATTTTTAAAATTATTTATTTATTTAAAGAGAGTGTAAGCAGGGGGAGGGACAGAGGTAGAGGGGGAGAGGGAATCTTAAGCAGGCTTCATGTGCAGTGCAGAGCCCAACACGGGGCTCGATCTCACGACTCTGAGATCATGAACTGAGCTGAAATCAAGAGTTGGATGCTTAACCAGCTGAGCCACCCAGTCACCTCTGATTTTAAAATTAAAGCATAAGAGTTCTTTGCCACATCTACTGTGAGAGCAAAAGACCACTGTCAACACTCTGTCAACACAGAAGAAGTTGACCTCACTCTGAAGGGATGCACTGGTATTGTGAAGGGTCCCAGAGGAACCCCGCGAAGGGACATCAGTCACATCCGTGTAGAGCTCAGTCTCCTTGGAAAGCAAAAGAAGAGGCTCTGAGTTGACAAATGGCTGAGGACTGAACAGAATGGGCTACTGCCCATGGTAATCTGTTGTCATGCAGAGAACACGACCAAGGGCGTTACACTGGGCTTCCAGTACAAGATCAGGTCTGTGAATGGTCAATTCCCCATCGATGTTGTTATTCAGGAGAATGGTTCTCTTGTTGAAATCCAAAATGTCTTGGGTGAAAAATACATCTGCAGGGTTCAGATGAGGCCAAGTGTTGCTTGTTCGGTATCTCAAACCCAGAAACATGAGTTAATTCTTGAAGGAAATGATATTGAACCTGTATCAAACTCAGCTGCTCTGATTCAGCAAGCCACAACAGTTAAAAGCAAGGATATCAGAAAATTTTTGGATGGTATCTATGTTTTTAAAAAAGGAACAGTTCAGCAGGCTGATGAATGAGATCTAAGTCATCCAGCTATAGAAACAGCAAGATGCCAGATGATTTTTCAGACTTATTTATGAAATCTTAAAGATGCAATAAAAGCTGTATTGATTTGGGGCTTTTTCTTAAAATTAAAGCCTAAGGAAGCCCTTTCATTTGCTTTGTGAGACTAAACCACTTACTTGTAAGTGTGACATTATACCCTCATTAGTTTACCAACTAAGTTGTAATATCAAAAGTATAAGTAACTTTTAGTGTCATTTCTCTGGTTCATTGACATTATTTGAAATAATTTATGTATGCAAAATATTTACAGGGCTTTGTCCCAGGATGTTAGACTTTCTGGAACCCAGTGAGGTTTCTCTAGCATTTTGGGGTTTGCATTCAGTATGCCAAAGAGAGAACATTTCTCTATGATCTCAAATGACAGATGTTCAATATTCAGATTTTTATAGCACTTAGAGTAACTACATGTGAACGGAATCACAAAAAAGGACTATTAAAGTCTATGTAAAGCATTAAAATAATTAAAGCATTCATTTAAGCTTTTAATGTAAGAAGGTGTTGTCTTTACAACTTAAAGCAATAAAAAGCATGTTTATGTTTTAGAAAACCTAACTAGAGGCTGGCTTTGTGTTGGTAGGAGAGTATGTTACGATAGGGTCTATCACTGAACACATTTTTCTTTTTTTGACAGAGAGAGACACAACGAGAGAGGGAATACAAGCAGGGGAGTAGGAGAGGGAGAAGCAGGCTTCCCGCTGAGCAGGGAGCCCGATGCGGGGCTTGATCCCAGAACCCTGGGACCATGACCTGAGCCGAAGGCAGACACTTAACAACTGAGCCGCCCAGGCACCCCTGAGCACATTTTTCTTAGATTCAGATTCTCCCTTTAATCAACTGTGTAAGGTTGTTTGCAGCTTTAGCCTTCTGGATTATTTGTTTCTTTCTCAAGGGTTAACCAGAGAAATTATTAATAAATGACAGGTTTCCATAAAAGCTGCCACATTCTGTTTGCTTTGATGTCACAAATCACTTTTTTTTACTTTGTTAAATTTAAGGGAGGAATGTTATATGCCGATATACTACACATGCATATAGTGATTTTTTAAAAAAATTTGATCTTGATGATTTTTGATAAGGTTTATGGTCCATTGGATAATTATGTTGTGTTAGGACTTAGAAAGTAAAAAGAAAAGGTTAAAAAGGGTAAGAAGGAAAGAAAGGTATTATCCTCTTTTCACTGATTAGGACTAGAAACCTAGACAGACTCAGGAATTTCTCTGTAGGTACTCAGCTGTTAGAGAGTAGAACCAGTACTCAAACCTTAGTCTGTCTCTGATTTTCATGTACCGTATGATACATTTCAGTGCTTGAGTTACCCAAGGCTACATGAAGATTGCTCAAAGAAGTTTCATTTTGAAGCTGAATTAAGATTTGCGTTTAGCCCTTAGAGAGCAGTGTAGCTTTGGATTGGGATAGAGATGCATTTAAAATACATTTTGTGAGTTTCCTTTTGTTTTTATTTTGTACTTTATTGAGCACTTTGTGCCAGGCACTTTGAAAGGAACTCCACATGTTTTTCTCAGATAATTCTCTAAACAACCCTAAAAGGGGGCATGATTCCCATTTTACAGATGAGTAAAATGAAGCCAAGGGTGACATTAAGTCAGCTCGAGGCCACACTGATTAAAAGTGGTGGAACTCAGATTTGGAACCAGTTCTCTGGTTCTACCGTACATGCTTTGGGCTATTCTATTACACTTCTTCCAGGAAAAATTCGAGAGATCTTAGAAGTTACAACCAAAATCTAATTAGTGGCTATTACATCGAATTTGTTGAACCTGCAAAATTATCATTTGGTGGTAGGGGATTCTAAGCTGAGCAAACTGTGCCAACTTCTGGTTTATGTAGTTGATGTGACCTGGTGGCCTTAATAGTGATAGCTGATAGAACTGTGAGTTAAACATACCATTAAAAATGAACTTAGAGGTCATGTTTACTATAGCTCACAGTGACTTGTCCCACGTCTGTGACTTGCTTTGTTGTAGAGTGCATGGTGCTAGTGAGAACAAGATGATGGGTTAGAGTCCTGGTACAGGCCACCAAATTAAATTTTGTTTCATAGTCATGCATTTTAGTTTTACTATAGTACAGTTGTTTGGTGGGTCTTGGGGGAAGGGTGGCAGCATCCGGGCAAACTAGAGTCCCTATTGAAACATTTCAGAGCCACCTGTTTGCTCATAAGAAACCCATCTTGGATGAAACAGTGTCTAAACTTTTTTGTTGGTTTATGGTAAGCAGAGGTGTTTTCTTGACAATAATACATTTAAAAGTCATTAGTATTTGTCTTTCTCTGACTTATTTCACTTAATGTTCCATCCATGCCATCACAAATGGCAAGGCTTCCTTCTTTTTGATGGCTGAGTAATATTCCATTATATATATATAGATATAATATATACACATACACATTATATATACACATATACACACATTATACACACACACTGTCCACATCTTCTTTATCCATTCATCAGTCGATGGGCACTTGGGCTCTTTCCATAGTTTGGCTATTGTTGATAATGCTGCTGTGATTTCACTTATATGTGGAATTTAAGAAACAAAACAGATGAACACAGGGGAAGCGAAGGAAAAATAAAATAATATAAAAACAGAGAGAAAGGCAAACATAAGAGACTCTTAACTATAGAGAACAAACTTAGGGTTGCTGGAGGGGGATAGGTAGCGGGAAGGATGGGCTGAAATGGGGGATGGGCATTAAGGAGGGCACTTGTGATGAGCACTGAGTGTTGTATGTAAGTAATGAATCACTAAATTCTCCTCCTGAAACCAATACTACACTATATGTTAACTAACTTGAATTTAAATAAAAACTTGGGGAAAAAAAGAAAATTTCCCAGAAAACAGTTCTTAGGAACATTAAAATCAATAAATGTGCTTCCAAAAAATAATAAAAAATAAAAAAATAAAACGTCCATTATAGTGGACTATTATTCAGCCATGAGAAAGGAGGAACTCCTGCCATTTGTCACTACATGGATGGACCTAAGTGAAATAAGCCAGAGAAAGATAAATACTGCATGATCTCATTTATGTGTGGAAACTTTTTTAAAAGTTTAACTCACAGAAACAGAGTAGAATAGTGTTTTCCAGGGGCTGAAGGATGGGGAAAATGGGGAGATGCTGGTCAAAGGATACAAGCCTTCAGCTGTGAGATGAGCCGGTTCTGGGGATCTCATGTCCAGTACACTGACCATAGTTAGTACTATATTGTATACTTAAAATGTGCTAAAAGAATCAATCTTAAATGTTCTCATACACACGAAAAAGGTAACTATGTAAGTAACTGAACTGTGGTGGTGACCATTTCACAAGGTATATGTCTATCAAATCATCACATTATATGCTTAAAATATATATAGTTTCTTTGTCAATTATACTTCGATCAAGCTGTTGGAAAAAAAGAATCTCCATGGCTGGGAAAATTGAGGTAGAGCCAAGAACTAGCAAATTTCCTATGATGATGTAAAACAGGGGTCAGCACACTTTCTCTGTAAAGGACCAGACAGTAAATACATTCAGTTGTGTAGGGGATACAATCTCTGTTGTGCCTGCTCAGCTCTGCTGGTGCAGCATGGACACAGCCATGGAAGATCCATCAGTGAACAGCCGCAGTCAGGTTCCAATAAAACTTCATTTGTGGTTGCTAAAAAAATAAAGATAAAAATCATTAGTGTAAGTCTTAACAGAATATTTTAAATACATTTGATAATGGTTCATTTCTATGAGAGAACTATAGCTAGATAACTAGAGCTCAGATGTCCCATATCTAGACATGAAATATCAAGTTGGAAACATATTATAGTCAGGATTGTTCTTAAAAAGATACTTGAAATATGGGGCACCTGGGTGGCTCAGTCGGTTAAGCATCTGCCTTCGGCTCAGGTCATGATCCCCAGGGTCCTGGGATCGAGTCCTGCATTGGGCTCCTTGCTCAGCGGGGAGTCTGCTTCTCCCTCTCCCTCTGCCCCTCCCTGCTCATGCTCTCTCTCGCTCACTCTCTCCCTCTCAAATAATTAATAAAATCTTTTAAAAATTAAAAAAAAATATTTGAAATATCATGTCTAATTTGGTATTGTTAAAATTAATATTTAGAAGAATTTCTTTATTTTTATATAAAAAATACAAACCTAAAAAGGAATTTGTGATGTCTCTCAAAGCCAGTTTTTATAAACTACCCTTATAGCTTTATAGCTCTCCTTACATTATTTAATTACATAAACTTGTTTGGAAGGAACTTTTAGCACTTGGTTTTACGTGAATTTACTTACATTTTTAAAAAAAAAATTTTTAAGATTTATTTATTTGAGAGAGAGAGAGCACAAAAGGGGGTAGGGCCAGAGGGAGAAGCAGACTCCCCGCAGAGCAGGGAGCCCAATGTGGAGCTCAATCCCAGGACCCTGGGATCATGACCTGAGCCGAAGGCAGATGCTTAACCAACTGAGCCACCCAGGCGCCCCTCCTTACATTAATTTTATATAAAGTTTTAAACATAATTTCAAAAGGTTTTATATTTTTGAAGAAGTAGAGTGAGGGTAGGATGAGAAGGAAACATAAATTTAGAGGGTGTTTATTGAGAAACCCTTTCTCAGGGAGTGGTATTGAAGAGTGAGAAGGAATTGGCTGTGCGAGAGCTGCAGGAAGAGGGTGTCAGGCGAAGACTGAGGTGGGGAGAGACTGGGTCTATTTCAGAAAGCAGTCCATGAGGCTGGAGGCCAGGGAGCCAAGGGCATGGTGCTCAAGACGGGTGATGTCGGGAGGGCCAGTCCATCAGTGCCCTACATCTGTGCCAATTAGGTGTGCTGTATATGAAGCACCACAGGACACCGGTAACAGATTGTTAGCAAGGGAGTGATGTGATCTGTCTCTTTTGAATGGTCGCTGTGTCTGTTCTGAGAAGAACACATTGGCGGTTGTCAGGAGACCAATTAGGAAGAGCAATTAGGAAGCTCTTTCAAAAAGTGAGGCAAGGAGTGCCGGCTTGGTGTAGGGTTAGTGTGGAAACAGTGAAAGGTGGATGCATTTGAGATAAATTTTGGAGCTAGAAATGACAGGACATGGTGATGGATTAGAGATAAGAGGTGAGCGAGGGAGTTAGGAATGAGGAACCACTCCAGCATTTCTGCTTTGAGAAATGCAGAGGAGCATAATGATGCCCTTAGCAAAGAGAGGAAGGGACCTGGTGAAATAAGGGAAGTGAAAACTTGGAAATTCAATTTTATATATACTAAGGTTGCGTTTCCTATTAGCCATCTAGGGAACATGTCAGGCAATGAAATACCCAGATCTGGAGCTCCTAGAACTTCAGATTTAGAGATGAAATGGGAAGAGATTAGAATTAGGTCCACATCACTTCAGTTAAACAGACTGTACATCAGGCACTGAGGATAAGACTTGAATACAAGCTTCTTGGTGTTAGGTATGCTTTTTTCATCTCAAGAAACCATCATAGAACTTGGCACATAGTAAGTATATAGTAAATATATAGTGAATGAATAAATGATGTAGAAATAAGGTAATAGCATGGAGTTTCTTAATTTATACAACTCATTTTCCATTTGTAGTCTTGCTCTTTATTCTCTTCTATGTATAAGAGATGAACTGCTATAAAATTGATCTGTTATTGTCAAAATACCTTCCTTGGGAGAGTTTTCTATTTAGGGGGCAACACATCAAATAGCCTGAGTTATATTCACTCCACAGCGTAGACCTATTTCATCTCCAGTATATTCAACATAGAATGTCTTTTTCTAGATACAGGTTCAGAAACATTTTAAAATGTACTTAAAATATATTTTGTGTTAGAAACTTTTTTCTTTCCTTTTGACTGTTTTTTTATTGGATAAAAAAGTTACTCCTATTCTTTTATCTATGAATCCATAGGGATTATTAAATTCAAGTTAAAATGAATTTCAGGGTCACGAATTTGATACATATCTGTGCTCCTCCTTTACCATAGGGATGACAGTGAGTGCTAATAAGGATGGCTTGGGGATGATCGTTCGAAGCATTATTCATGGAGGTTCCATTAGTCGAGATGGCCGGATTGCTGTTGGGGACTGCATCTTATCTATTAATGAAGAATCTACTATCAGTTTAACCAATGCCCAGGCACGAGCGATGTTGAGAAGACACTCTCTCATTGGGCCTGACATAAAGTAAGTATCATTTGGACTCCAGTTTGGCTTGGGAAATTCGAGAATTTCAATTCATGAGTCAGAATTTTTTTTCAGTATGTACTTCTGTTTAATATGCAAAAATTATCACATATTTATTAAAAATAAAACCCTCAGGAATTTGACTATTCCTGAATAGTTCTTGATTGTAGATATAGTTTCTTTAAGACTATACGATGTTGAAATATTTGAAAATGATTTGCCTCCCATGTTTAATTTTACTCCAGTGCTTTTGCAAAAACCTGAGACATCTCTCAGAGAGCAGGAGGGTCCACTCAGGATCTTACAAAGAAGTTGGCCTCAATGTAAGGGACTGTGTACTACCTAATTGATGTATATGAATCCTAGGACTAAGCTAGTTCTTTAATGGCCATTCATGGAAAAGACCATATAGAACAGCATCAGTCTGACCCATAATTTACCATTTGGTCAACTACCTCATGATCCAAGAGCAGTCACCAGTATATTGGTATAGTCCAATTGTAGGTCACATAGGATATTTTGTCAGGAAATGCTTAAACTATACCATAATCCCATAATGTGCTAAAAGCACGTTATAGATGTGGCTTGGTTTTTAAAGTTACTAAACATTTCTTGAGCCAACATAAAAATCAGTTCATGACTCTGTCACACCTCATCAATGTAATAGCTTGGCTTTTCTTCTCTAGCATTAACCATTGAATATTTTTATATAATGTATAAGGAATAAAATAGTAAAATAAGAGCTCAGGGAAAGATTATTTACCTTAAATTAATGTAATGATTACCATTATGGGAAACTTTGCTGTATTAATGTTATTTTACTGACTGCATTCTGTATTATTCTTTTGCAAAGTATATATTGCTGGAGCTTAGATAAGAAAAAATATATATACAGTCTGTTTTTCATTCTGCCATCATTAAAAGCAGAAAAATATATACTGTTTGAAGCGGATTCTGCCATCTTATACAAAAGTAGTATTATTTGGGGGCAGAATTTCTCTAATGGGCTTTCATAATTTTGCATGCCCTTTTGACTTTTATAATGGAATAGATCATTTCATCCTGTGACAATTCCTTAATTATCTTAATAATGTGAGTCCAAGTACATTAAAAATTTCAGTGCCTCTAAGAAAAAATAAAAACTTTAAGAGCTTTCTTTACCACTTGTGGGCCGGTGTCCATCCCGCTAGCTTCAAAGATGAAGGATGTAGACCACGTGGGGATCCCTTACTGCAAGGCTTTTAGCTTACATAGTTTAGATGTAGTATAAAACACACATGGCCTGGTAATTGGTCATTTGATTTATTGTGTGATAATGCATGTCTTCTGTTATGAGCACGGCTGCAGGTCCCCTGCCCACTTTTTGGCACTCTGAGCACCAGAAATGGTGCTTGGTTATCTCGCTGTCCCCCTCAGTTCTAATGTACTGCAACACTTAGAAAGTGACCAAGAAATAAGACCATTGTGACATTGATTTAGCATAGTTAGGCATCTAGTCAACTCTAGGAAAGTTGTCCGGTACTTTTTCAAGCTCCCAAAGTTCTTTTTCTCCTTTCCTTCTTTCTACTGCTATTGTTATTTGCTTTGTTTGTTTGTTTTCCCACCTTCTGAGTCAGCACCAGGATGGACCCATTCATGCTTACAGCAGCTTTATTAGGACCTTTAAGGGTATCCGAGGTAACTTCATAAATTACTGCCTTAGGATCCCAGGAGTCAAAATGTAATATCTTAAATTAAAAAAGAGAATAAGAAAAATCCTGCAACTTTCCCTCCTCTGGAAATCAATTAGCCAATCAATCTCTTTCTCACATTCTCACCTGTGTGTGGGGGCACACACACATAATTCATAAACATAATCACAAAACACGTTAATTTCTTCCCAAGTGTCCTACTAAGGCTGAGATTCAGATGGTTATAGTTTGACTTAGGGGGTAAATGGTAGAGAGAATTTCGAATCATATAATCCTTTTTCAGAAAAAGTGTGTGAAATGATAAAAATAAATAGCCATTTAGATTGACCAGGGCTGAGCAGCATTTTGCATGAAGTGTTTTGGCCCTGTCCCTTCCTTATCACTAGCTTTTATGTAGCAGAAGGTTTAGAATTACCTTAAGAGCTATGTGAATAATTCTCCCAAAAGGAAAGTCTAGTCCTTCCTTTACTCTGAATGGAACCATATCAGTGCCTCTGGCCAATTAAGCTTTGTAGTCATTACGTGGATCTAGGCTCCATCCACATCTCTTCCTCTTTGTCTCTTGTTATGAACCTAGTTTAATGTGGGATGGTAGTGGAGGAGTGTATTGGGGGGGACTTAAAAAAAAAGACTCTAAATGGTTCAGTTTCATAACTGATTGGTTTTAGGAAAAGCATTGCTTATTGAAGACAACGCACCCCATTTCTTTTTTGCCGTTTGCGATAGATAGCAAGGAACTTTGTGTGTGTGCATTCATGCATGCCTGGGTAGATAATTTGAGTTTCAAGAGTTCAAGAACAGCCAGTTTAAGTTCCAGGTTTCATTATTTTGTATGGAAAACCAGATGTGAAGCCTCACCAGAATGCATTCTGTTTCACTTCTCACTCCACCTTGCCAGGAGCTCTTATATTTCTGTAATAATAGCCAGGGTTTTGTGCTTAGCAGCAGCTGCTTCTAACATCTGCCAGATAATTACCGAGCTGAATCAGAATTCACCTGCCTTAACCTAAAGTGTGGGATGAATTCCTGATCAAGGAATAAAAGATTGATTGCAGTTACATTTTTCTATGCTTGTTAATAATCACTGCTATAGACACCAGTAAAGAGCAGATGCTTTTCTGGGGGAGGTGTCAATGGGGAGGGAGGTGGAAAGGGGGAAAAAAAAACAACCAGGAGCACCCACTTGTAACTACATATGTATGCATCTCACATTCCGCACAAGACACTGACATTTGTTAACACCATTGTAAAAAGATGCCGCTGCGTATGCCGCACATTCTAGATTTTCTGCAGCACCTGCTGATGATCGAGCCCCCTTTTATGTGTGAGTATCGGTGATTCAAAAGCTCATTATGGCTGTGTGTTACAACTTGTCTGTGAAAACCATTTCATGCTTTTGTAACTTCCCATTGCAGGGATAGATCCAGATAGAGACTCAGTGTGAACAGTTTGGCTTTCTTTTCTTCATTTATGTGAGAATGTAAATACCAGCAGAACTATGAGATTGTTACCTGTTCACATTGCACTGATGATTGGGAACTCATTTGAAAATCATATTTTCCAACTACTAAGCTTTCAAGCTCCTTTGTAGGGAATGATCCTGCCTGTGTGTGCAGGCACGGTCTCTGGATTAATAGCCGGATCACATTTCAGCATCACTGAATGCTATTCTTCATCCTTTCACTCCATTTGTAACCAAAGGTTAGTTTACGTGTAAGAATCTCTAATACAGCTCTCAAAGAAGCTGTTTCAGTGTGTTTATTCAGTTCATAATTCATTTTTGGTGCCCTTCCTGGGATTCGGAGGTTTTATGTGCCATATGACTAGGCATGTATTAAAATTGCTTTGCATGTGCTGTTGCATTGTGGGAATCTTGTTCCGGTGTCCTCACTGTCTGTATTGGGGTAAATATATATGAAAACTGCTTTCTTTCCTCTTTCTCACTGCTGTCTAAAATATCATAAAAATATTTGTAAAACTCCCTGTCCCCTACCCTTGGTAAAAGGAAAAACAGTTTGGGACAAATATAGAGGAAAATTCATTTTTGGCATTGTTTGGGATAGAAACATTTTTTTCCTTCTCAAAACATTTTAAAAACACAATCCTTTGAACTGATTATTATTATCTTTGCTAGTGTGTTCTGGCTTTCCCTTTACCTTTATTGAATCTTCAGAAATAATACTTTTTTTAAGATTTTATTTTTCATTTATTTAAGAGAGAGAGACAGAGAGCAAGAGAGAACATAAGCAGGGGAAGAGGCAGCGGGAGAGGGACAAGCAGACTCCCCGCTGAGCAGAGAGCCTGATGACTTGGGGCTCCATCCCAGGACCCCTGAGACCATGACCTGTGCTGAAGGCAGACACTTAACCGACTGAGCCACCCAGGCGCCCCAATACCAGTTTTCTTGAATAGGCTTTTTAGGTTTATCTTTATTTGTCTTTGTATAAAATAGAATCAATCTTCCTGACATAATGCGTTATACATTTTTTACTCATTATTTTGGGAAGGGATAAATTCAAATTTACTATTCAATATATTTTTAACACCATAGAGAAGGTGTTTTTGTAGATGAATAAATTAAGTAGGACCAGAATTAGAATGCGACTCTGTCTCCCAGTGTACTCCTAAACCCTCTGAACTGTGCTTTCTGCTTTATTTTTTGGTCCTGGAGGTAAAAGTGTCATGAAGAGAGACTCCCAAGTGTACACAGAGTCTGCCCAGAGTGATCAGGCGTGACCAGGCTAGCTTATGCCCTGGTAAAGCACTGTTTTATATTTGTTTTATGCTTTTCAGCTACAATAGCCGCATGAAAAGTGACATCCTTCTTGTGATTGAGGATATGGAGATTAAGTAGTGGTGATTTACCCTCCCGTTACAGTCTGATGAGCACACAGAGCTGTGTCTTCTGACTCCAAATTTAAGTGACCTCACAGAGTGAATGCTTTTTATGGAATATCCAGTATGTCTGAAATTACATATCTTCCTCCCTTAGTAAATTATACCAGTGGCATAATTCGGATTTTATTATGACATAAAAGACAGTCCTTTGATCCGTGCCCTCCCCTGCTAAGGTTTTATGTACTTATTGTCTTCATGGGTAAGTTATGGATAGCTAGTTTAATAGTCTTCATGATTTTTATATTGTGTAATTTTGATACATACTTCTTTTTTAGTTGCACAAGTGCAGAACCAGTTTGTAGTTCAGTGTTTCTCTTACCTAACTATTCCTTAAGTTGAGGATCTTGGAGGTATATTGGTTATCTAGCCTTTTATAGGATAGCAGTAAACTTGAATTTTCAAATATCAGTTTCTAAACATTCTAGCTGTAGTCAACATCTTGCTCAGTGCCTTCCACATTACAGGCATTCAGCCAATACTTGTTTAATTACTAAGTGACCATTCAAGTGTAAACATCAGGCTTTTCTCTAAAACCAAAATAACTTATTACAGAGTTGCTACAAATTAGTAAGAGAGTCTTCCCATAAACTTATGCTAGTTTGAACTTCAGACTTTCGGGTTCATAACTTAATAGAGCTAACATATAATTATTATATATTTGTTAATTCCCATAATTAATTATGTATTATGGAAGAATGTAAAGTAATTTGGGGTAGCCAGTATTTTAGCAGAGTATGTGTAATTTGTTCCTGCTAAGGAACCCAAAAGTCTTTGGATGAAATTAATGTTATTACTGACAGTTATATTTGTAAGGATTAATAGATCTTTTTAAAAAGATTTTATTTATTTATTTGAGAAAGGGAGAGAGAGCACGAGCTGGGGTTGGGGCAGAGGGAGAGGGAAAAGCAGCCTCCCCCCTGCTGAGCAGGGAGCTGCACGAGGGGCTGGATCCTAGGACCCTGGCAAACGCTTAACCAACTGAGCCACTCAGGTGCCCCAGGATTAATAGATCTTTCTAAAAATTGCTGTTAGTTTTGTTATTTGGAAATTGAAATAATGCTGCTTTTCTCCCCCATATGATTATTGGTAAACATATAGTTTATCAGCATTTTAAAGTTTAATTGTTGTTTAAAATTTAAAGTAAAAACTTTAAACTTTAATCTGTTATTTTTGCATATAGGATGCTTTATCCTTTGGAAGTTTGGAGTCTCTGCTGAGTAAGCTGATTAAATGAGTTGTGTGAAAAAGTAGGGATGAAGGGACAAGATCATTTTATTTCTGTATTTTGGAATCTTTTCCTGTTAGGCACAACTTTGCTTTCCTTCTTTTTTTTTTTTTCATGGACTGTGTTCTGTTCCAGAATTACTTATGTGCCCGCAGAACATTTGGAAGAGTTCAAAATAAGTTTGGGGCAACAATCTGGAGGAATAATGGCCCTGGATATTTTTTCTTCATCCTCTGGCAGGTGAGTGAAGCAGTGAGCTTGGTGCAGGGAGTGAATGATGCAGCAAGTTCCAAAGGAGACTTTGAAGCCAGAGTCAGCAGGACTAGCAATGAAAAAGAATGATTTCCTTTTGTCTCTTTCCAGATTTAAAAAAAAAAAAAATTCACCCCGTCCTCCCCATTACTTAAGAAAGTATCATACAGTGTGGAAAATACATGAAAACTCAAATCAAGAAATTAAAATCATCTTAAGCTGCACCACTCTGCATAGTACTCTTCATATACTAAGTTTGGGGAATTCTCAGATCTCAGTATTATTTCATTAATTCACTGGCGCCTACAGTTTGTATGATACTGTATCATGCCTTTTCCTCTCTCATAAATGTTTTCAAACATGTTCAGAAATTTTATTTTTTTATTAACATACATACAGATTCAGAAACATTTTTAATGGTTATTTCTTACTTTTTTGGAAAGTGTTGAGCTGAACATCATGAGCATTAACAACATAAGGAATGACCAACACATTTATAGGGGCTTATCTGGGTTGATGAAAGGATTCATGGATTATAGAATCGTTTGAAGAAAATGGGGGTTTTGTATCAGAGGATTCAGGATGTTAGTCTTTTTATAGCTAAAAAGGCAGGAAGATGTGATCCACTATATCTGAGAGTGTGTCTGAGTAGCCCCCTGAGCTTGGACTTGATGGGTAAGATCCTCCCCCTCCCCATGGCTGTCACTGAATATTTTCGGAACTCATTTTAAGTTCTCATTATTGTCTGTGTTCCATACCTTGCTTCTTCTCTCCTATTCCTTCCAACTCTGTTTCCTGAGGGTTAGACTCCTGTTCATCTCTCTGCCCTGCATCTTCAGGATACAGCTTCCCTCAGTCTATCTTGTTCTCAGTCTGCTTCTTAACATCCTTTTTAAAAATCCCCTTTTTGAAAAAATAAAATTAAATTAAATCCGTTATGTGGATCCATTCCCAAAAGTCTTGTCCCACTGTCAGGCTTAGGCTGTTGGATCCCAGCCTCATTCAGAACCTTCTTCCTCAATTTGCTCAGGAGAGGAATTCAAACATACAACAGTAGGTAGTACAGCTAGGCAGATAGATTTTCCCTTAACAGTTGAAAAGCAAAAATCTAACATTTAGGTCAAAGGAAGAATGACATGTTTAGGGAGACCCTGGACAGTTAGTTGCTTTCCAAAGATGTTGTGAAACATATTCAAACACAGACAATTATTGGGTTTTATGACTTCTGATCTCAGAGTCAAAAGGTTATGTGATTTGACAGAGTTCAGTATTCCTGTCACTGGAGAATAGATATAATTTGAGTGTATACTTTCTTTAGATTATTCAGTTTCTATAAAAATCAGTTGCAAACATTTATTAAATCAGAATTTTTATAGCTTTCTTTGCTTTCAAAGGAATATGTGGACATTCATCTTTAGAAAGCCAAGTTTAACTAACAGTGTTAAGGACACACCATAATTGCTTAACCATTCTCTATTGCCCTTACAATGTCACTCATTAATACAAAGTCTACGTTTGGGAAAACAAAGTATTTATCAATATGGTTATTTATAGTTTAATTTACAATTAGTTAACAGACTGGACACATTTTGTTATGCCTGGCATTTGGCAAAATTGAATTCCTACAGAAATTGAAAAGTGACCTTAAATAGAAGGACATCGTGAACTGCTTTCTGTAAGGAGTATTCTGTGTGTGGTCCTTCTGGCTGGAGTGAAGTTGGACTTTAAGCATTTTATATTTTTCTTGAAGGGAAAACACTGGCCCATTCTTAGGAGACAGAGATGCTAAATTTCTGCCTTACTTGATGATAAGTTCTTTCAAGTCAGGGATCGATCAGGGCTATGTAAGCTTATAACCCATATGGTGCTTCTACCTTTTGTATGTTGTGTTTAAGAAATACTTGAAGTTTTTTCTTTCATTCTGATATTTTCCCCTTCTTGTTCCTTTTCCTTATTCTCCCACGTTTCCTTGGGAAAGAAACAGACTAGCTAAGAATTTTAGTGTTCAGCTCTATCTCCAGACTAAGTTATGGTAGATTGTTTCTAATGTCAGGTTTTTATTTTCATTTGATTAGGTTTTCTTTCCCCCTTAATGTAAAATGGGCCAAGTATGGTGAAAATATGAAGTAGTTCTGATTTTTAGCAAATCAGTAGTAAAGTATATATAAGACAAACTTGCACAGTTTTACTAGGATTTTGGAGTATTCACTGTGTAAATTTTTAACAGAGACATTCCAGAACTACCAGAGCGAGAAGAAGGAGAGGGAGAAGAAAGTGAGCTTCAAAATTCAGCATACAGTAATTGGAACCAGCCCAGGCGGTAAGAACTATTTCTGTCTTCTGCCTACTCAGTGTTTAAAGATAGGGAGGTGTGGTTTTAAGTACTGGATTACAACTTGGCACTGTGACATAGGGCAGGGTGTTCTAATATCCCTTACCCTCCATTTCTTCCTGTGTGCAGTGGAGAGGATACTGTGTTATTACACAGGGTCTAAACTAAACACGTATACAAGGGTTTGGCACATAGTAGGGGCTAAATATGATTAACTAGAGAAAATTATGCATAGGTAGTTGGAATGGATAATATTTTCTATAGAGTTCAATCTTGGGTTTACCACCAAATGTTAATTTAAATTTTCTCTAGCATTTGTAACATATATATTCAAAATGTGTGTGTGTGTGTGTGTGTGTGTGTGTGTGTGTGTGTGTGTGTAAGCATCTTGTTATCACAGCCTGCAGTTATTTTAACCCATGCTCTGTCTGGAACCAATTTCATATATAGTAGAAAAATAGCTTTCCTAAATATGTTCAGATATATCGCTGTGCATCACTAAGGCATATTTTTGTGTTCATGCTGAGTAAAATCAAATTCAGTTTCATAGGAATTTATTGAGTCCTGATTGTGGATGCAGATGATTTTGTGAATAACAGGCAAGTATGAGACCTAAATCCTGCCTTCAAGGAAGTGTCATGTACTGGGATAGGCAAGATGTGGAGACACACAAAATAATTAAAGAAAAATGTAAGGTAAATGTAAAATATATTAAGTGTAAAATATTAGTCGTCTTGGCTATCCCCTCTAAACAGATCCACAGGTGACCATCATAATGATTTCTTGCACTTAGGAAACACTTAATATTTATTCTACAATAAATACATAAAATACTCCAGAGAGAAAAATTTCTACTCTTCAGAGATGTAACATGGTTCGATGGTTTTCGTTGCTTACATTTAAACATTTTTAGGTTGAGTCCTATTCAAAGTATAGAAAACATACTATATTGCTTTCACAAAAAACAATAAGCATTACTGGCCATTTAAAATGACTTTTTGATTGGAATTCTTTAAAAAGCTATTAGCCTACTTAAAGAAATCAAGGTCTCTCTACATCATTACTCACATTGAGAACAGAATATAAATGCTAGATCTGTGGCAGAAAATATGTCATTTCTTATTTATATGAGGATAAAAGCAAAAGGGAGTTAGATGAAATTATTTTGTAGCTGGTGATCATAGTGATAAACTTGAATTTTGTTGGAGGACAGTAATCACAGGCAAAGAAAAAGATAGATTTTTCAGTTTTAATAATGCTGTTGGAGGAAAAGTAGAATTTAGAAGGCAATATGCAAAATGTTTGGCATCCATAAGAGCCATGTTAGAATTCTAACTTTGACAGTTCTTAAGGTAAATTTCTTTTTTTTTTTTTAATTTTTTATTTATTTATTTGAGAGAGAAAATGAGATAGAGCATGAGAGGGGGGAGGGACAGAGGGAGAAGCAGACTCCCTGCTGAGCAGGGAGCCC